CTATGACCCTATCTGATGGAAACAGCCATTTGAGACGTTGTTGTGGTAGACTAAAGAGGGCCACAAATTCTATCACTCTTCTCCCCAATTCCCATCAAGTGGTAGAGTTTATGTTCCCTCCCCTTGAAACTGAGCTGGCCCTGTGACTGCTTTAACCAACTGGATGTGTTATTCCCTGCCGAAGACCTACAAAAACCTGGAAGCTTTTGCTTTTGCACTTTTGAGAGTCCTGAGCCACCAAGTAAGAAATCAGGCTACTCTGCTGGAGAAGCCATGTGAAGTGAGGCCCTGGGATAACACTGGGAAGGAGAAAGGCTTGGCCATTCTAGCATCCCAGTCAAGCCTCTAAATTACTCCAGCCCCAGACAATAGCCAGCTGAAACCACATGAGACCCCAAGCAAAATTAGGCAACTGTCCATGAACCCATTCAACCTATAAAACCATCAGAGATAATGAAATAGTTATTATTGCTTTAAGTTACTAAATTTGGGGTGGTTTGTTATACAGCAATAGATAACTAAAACATTACATCACTGTGTCAAAAGGAAAGAGACGCCGTGAGAAATTGTACACAGGTTCCTAAAGCTTCTACAGATTACTTCTATTTCATGGGCCATGCTGAGTTCAAAGGAGCAGGGAAATGCAAGTCTACTACGTGTGTGGGAAAACAAATGAAAATATTTGGTGACTAGTACTTATATGTCCCAGAGAGGTCAGGGCTAGAGAGATATATCTTCCATAAAGGTGAGAAGTAAATCAGTAAGTAGATGAAATCTCAAGGAAAAAGGAGTAACAAAGGGCGAAAAGAACATAGATGACAAGAGATGCTTGTAGATGACCTCTTGGCAAGGGAGGGGTGGACATGCGGAGGAAAAGGAGAATGAAAGAGTCAGAAAAGAAACAGCTACAGAAGCAAAAGGAGAAATCTTAGGATCCAAAGGAGAGCTTCAAGAACAGAATAGTCAAGAAAAGCATAAAAGGCAAAAATTGGTGGTATAGGGAAGGAATGCATAGGAATTCAAAGAAAGAGGTCAGTGTGGGCTGGTGTGGCCAGACATAGGACAGGGGTAGTATTACAGGAGGAATTAGAAGGTAATAGAATTTGGATGGTTGGAGAGAGAAGGGTACTCTCAGTGAGGAAATACCATGAGTAAATTCTTGGAATGGGGAATGAACTTAACAATGGAGGGGAGTGAGACTAGTTATTGTAAAGGGAAATATATCACTGCAATAAAGGGTGTGTCAGGATTAACAGTAAAAGTGGATTAGGTTTGCTGTGGAAGGGATGGCAGGGAAGCCGTTTGTGGATTAATGGAGGCCTTTGAATGCCAATTGAGATTTCTGAGTTCTTTCCCTCAAATAGTTGAGCATCGCTGGAGGTAGGTGCCCGAATAAAGGAAATCAACATATAGGACAAGTTCTTTCATGTGGGAATGAAGGAAGGGAAGACAGAGTAGGTCAGCAGTCGAGAGTTATTGCAGTATTCAAAGCAGGAATATCATTTGTGAAAGATCATTGGGGGGGGGGGGCAAGAAGTCCCTC